TTTCTAGCTGTAAGGATAACTGTGGACTGGAAGATGGTGTGGAATCACCTTCACTGCAGGATTTTAAGACCAGGAGAGACACCCCCCTGTCTGTGGTGATCTAGGTGTCACTGATCCTGCCTACAAGCAAGGGGATGGACTGGATGATGCCTTGAGCTCCCTGCTGACCCTGAAAATTCCCCACGGGGCCCCGCTCTGGCTGCCGATTCTGACCATCCTCTGTTCTGATGTCCCCTATTCCTCTCCCATCTGTCCTTCCTCCCCACCCTGCCCATCCTCAAGGTCTTCTGCCAATGTTTCTCTTCTCAACAGGTACAGCTATTCCACCATCATCTCCACACCCCTTCCCCTCCCTCTGGACCCTTGTCCATCCTATCCACCCCCATTTCTTTCACCACCCCAAATCTCACCCTCCAGATACCATCTCTTCTTACCTGTTGCTGAAGCCGATGAAAAAAATGTCCAGTTAATGCCATTGTTTGACACCTGGGACAGGGAGGGGAAGGAGTAACCCCTGCTCCTGAGCCCAGAAGATCCCTTCCCTTCACACCCTGTGTCTCGGCTCCTGACACCCACAGAAGCACAGCAGGGATCCTGATGCTGTGGATAAACTACTGCACCCTGAACAGCACTGAGCACAGATGGCAGCTTCCACCTCCGACCACCTCTGCCTCCGCACTGAACTCAGCTGGCCACAGAGCCCTTGTGTGCCTCTGTCTCCATGGACACCGGAACCCGCCATGACATCACAACTGGACAGCAGTTGGTGACAGCATAGAGGTGGGGAGTGGGCAGGAAGGATGGGAAGAGAGGGGGACGAAGAGAGGGTTTCTCCCACTCAGTCCCAGGGATTTGTGTGCCCAGACTAGGGATCCAGTGGAGTCTGAAGAAGACACTTGGACATTCGCTTCAGCCTCACCTCAATCCCTGGAAAAATCATGGAGCAGATCCTCAAGGAATTCATCTAGAAGCACTTGGAGAAGAAGGTCATTAGGAACAGTCAGCATGGATTCACCAAAGGCAAGCCATGCATGACTAACTTAATCGTCTTCTATGATAAGCTGACTGGCTCTGTGGATGCAGGGAGACCAGTACCTTGACTTCAGCAAGGCTTTTGATACCGTCTCCCACAGCATTCTCCCAGACAAGCTAAGGAAGTGCGAGCTGGTTGAATGGACTGTAAGGTGGAGAGAAAACTGGCTGGAGCATCAGGCTTACAAGGTAGTAGTCCATGGCTTGATGTCTATTTGGCAGCTGGTATCAAGTGGAGTGCCCCAGGGGTTGGTCCTGGGTCCAAGTTTGTTCAATACCTTCATCAACAACCTGGAAGATGGCAGAGAGCAGTGGTTGTCAACTGGGGGTACTGCCCGGGTTCCGCCTGTCCCCCGACCCAGCCTGGCCAGGGCCCCATTTATCCCAGCCCCTGCCCCTGTCTGTGCCTCACTCCCTCCCTTGCCGCAGGGGCCTCGATCTGCCCCCAACCCTTGGCCCTTTCCCCTCCCCCAAAGCTTTATCTGCTGCAGGGGTGGGGAGGGTACACACATGCTCAGTCCCCTCCCCAAATAATTTTAACATAAAGGGGTACATGAGCAGAAACTTTGAGGCAGAAGGGGTACACTTGTTAAAAAAGGTTGAAAATCCCTGGCATAGTGTGTATACTCAGCAAGTTTGCAAATGACACCAAACTAGGGGGTGTAGAAGATATGCTGGAGGGTAGGTCTAGGATTCGGAGTGACCTAGACAAACTGGAGGATTGGGACAAAAGAAGTCTCATGAGGTTCAACAAGGACAAGTGCAAAGTCTTGCACTTAGGGTGGAAGAATCCCACGCACCGCTACAGCCTGGGATCTGATTTGTTGGGCAGCAGCTCTGCAGAAAAGGACCTGTTGGTTACAGTGGACATTAACCCAAATAGGAGCCAACAGTGCGTCCGTGTTGCCAAGAAGGCTAATGGCATACTGGGCTACATTGGTACGTGTGTTGCCACCAGGTAAAGAGAAGTAATTATTCCCTTCTGTTCAGCACTCGTGAGGCCACATCTGGGGTACTGTGTCCAGTTTAGGGCCACCCACTACAGAAAGGATGTGAAAAAATTGGAGAGAGTTCAGCGAAGGGCAATGGAAATGGTTTGGGGGGCTGGGGCACATGACTTGTGAGGATAGGCTGAGAATACTGGGCTTACTTAGTCTAGAGAAAAGAAGACAGAGAGGATTCAATAGCAGCCTTCAACTACCTGAAGTGTGATTCCAACAAGGATGGAGCTAGACTGTTCTCAGTGGTGACAGATGACAGAACAAGAAGCAATGGTTTCAAGGTGCAGCAAGGGAAGTTTAGGTTAGATATTAGGAAGAATTTTCTTACTAGGAGGGTAGTAAAAAACTGGAACAGATTACCCAGAGAGGTGGTGGAAGCTCCATCCCTGGAGGTTTTTAAGATCCAGCTAGACAAAGCTTTGGCTGGGATGATCTAGTTGGGGATGGTCCTGCTTTGAGCAGGAAGTTGGACTACATGAACTCCTGAGGTCTCTTCCAGTCCTAATTTTCTAGGATTCACCCCTGGGGGATATGGGAGGAGGGCTCTTCTCCTACATTTTGGCCAGCACTGTGTAAATAGCCACGCACTGCAATCCTGTGCGTGAACAGATATGTGAGCAGGCCCAGGGAAAACACAGTGAATCCAACAGCTCTTTCCAACTGTCCTTAGTTGATGGCACAAGTGCCTTGAGTAGACACTGCACCGGAGAAACAGGCTCCTCTGGTGGGGGGGACCCCAGCACCCAGTTGGTCTTGGACCATCCCTGCATATCAGAGTCAGCAGAGGTGCCACTCATTGCAACCTTTGGATTTCCCTGGGAAGTCTCCATCTACATTGTGTCCAAGCACAGCCCTGCCCACCTTGGCACTGACCTTCTCAGCCTGAGGAGCTGCAGGACAGCTTGCACCAGAGTGGCATTTCTCTGTGCATGCCCACAACTTCCATTATCCTCAGTCACATCCCCATGTGGCTGTCAGGGGAACAAATGAAGCCCTTGGACTGTGCGGAATAGATTCCTTCCCTAAAATCAAATTTCCCCACGCTCTAATGCCTCAGTAACAAAACACTTGGGTTTTGTTTTACAGATGTGCCTGTTTTCCTACTTTTGGCAGATCTATGTATGCAGCCACTTGATGATGTCCTTTCTTGCTTCCTCAATGTCAAGTTCATTTCGGGGTTCGTGTTTACTCCCTTTTGATGTACCAACTCCTGGTCTTGTCTAGAGTAAATATTAAATTCGTAATCAGTGCTGGTTTACCTTCTGCTCCTGTGCATGGATCTGTAATACCAAGCATCTTTCCATTAGCAATGTCTTAGCATACATTGCTAGTTCTCAGCCTGCCCATCCTCTAGTTTCCTGAAATATGGGAAATATCCTCACATCAGCGCCTTTTTCACTAACCTTGCACTCAGGGCCTGACTGGAGTTCTGTAACCCCACTCTTTTTTTGAGAAGATCTTCTCTTGTAGTAGGTATTCTTTCTTAAATATGATTGTATGAACTGAGAGAGAGAGGCTGCGTATAGGAGTCCGTCTACAAAGAGACAGATGACAATGACTGCCTAATGTAGGCTGACTGGTGTTGGGCTCGCGACCAGCTGGCGTAGATGCAGTCCTGTGAGAAGGGAGCAGGACTGAAGAGTGAAATGGAATAACAGGGAACTCCCCTGATACATGTTGAGGAGAAATGATGCACAGACCCAGAGACTGACATCTACTCTTTGGGTTGAGGGTGGGAGACCAGCAGAAAGGAGACTGAGCAACGGGCATGTCTTTCTCATCGATGCCTGCTGGAACCCTTTGCCTTTCTGTTTTCCTATGATCCTACCATAATGTGCTTATTTTAACATGCAGCAGCATTAAAATTGTACCCACCTGAAAGGACAGCAAGGGTTGCCCTTGCAGAGGGACAGCGTGTGAGGAAAGAGAGGGAGTTTGTCTCAGTGGGGACCCCGTTTGCACTGAGGGCGAGTGAAGCTGCTTTGGAGGCAGCTGTCTTTGAAGTGGGAAGAGTGACTGTAACCCCAGCTGTTTTCTCCCATGTTGAATGGGAGAAAACATTAACAAAAAGCCTGGGAAGAGTCCTAGCCTGGAATTGATGGAGACAGCTTATTTAAAAAGGGGGAAGTGAAAGCAGGACCAGTGAGAGACTGCCCTGGTCTTCCCCGCAGGTGAGACAGCAACCCAACCGAGAGAGCAGCAGGCGCAGCGCGCCAGAGGGAGCACCGGGAGAAGGGGAGGCTAGGGGCCAGGGGACTGTTCCAATCCACTAGAAGCCCCGGTGGCAAGCAGGGCCCAGGGAGGGCAGGCCACATTTGCAGGGTGGTGTGAGGTGTGCTGGGCAGGAGGAGCTGCTAGAACCTGCAGCCCAGACCTCGCTCCCTGCTGTGCCAGGAGACACGGGTCTGGGCAGGATAAGCCCTCTTTCAGGAATTGCAGGGGAGAAGCCACTGCCTGCCGCACCATGACCTCTGAAGTTCTCACAGAGGAATGCAGGTAGTGGGGACCTGCCCACGGCTCCCACGTGAGGGACACAGAAGCGGTCCCACTCCCTCAGACACCAAGCCAGGGGGCAGCATATATATGGTCACCTTGTGCATAAAAGTTATCGACTAAGTGTTTAAATAAGATCCTGATGGGGTATTAGTGGTGTATCAAGCTATTGATTTATCGGTTCATTATTTAGCCTGGGTAATTTGTATGCCTTCCTGTGGTATAAGGTATATCAGAGAAGCCATTAATCTTCAAGCCACCATATCTGGGTTTACGTTGTATAGCACTGTTTTTTATTTTATTAGTTATATTTTATCCTGTAAATAATTAAATTCTGTAAATAGTTGTATAATGGTCTGCAAGGTTGTTTGATTTGTCAAGGGAGGCTCTCCTCCCGGCTATGCAGGTGAGGGCGTGGGTAGCGTCAGCCCCAGCATTACAAACACAGCATGTTCTGTACTACAAAGCACTAGAGAGCAGCAAGTGTCTGAAGCTTGTGAGCGAGGAGGGGGCTTCTCAGGAGTTCACAGTTGGCTTTCCTGTTCCCTCTGCAGTGGCTGACCCCAGGGAAATATTACCAAATTTGCCCATTACTTTGGGGTGTGCTCATTTATTAGGGATAGTTTCTAGGGTCTTGGTGATTCTGTCAATGTGCTGCTTGTGTTACTATACAGAGCTGTATTTCTCCCTTCTGCAAGCCCTCACCCCCAGTGGAGCTATCTTGCAGGACTCAATCTCAATGGGACTGGGTTCCTCCAGTCACCAAATCAGTCATACACACAAACACACACAAATTAATGTGACACGCCTGACCTGGCCGGGCTGATCAGCATGGACAGGCTGACACCCTCATATGCCAAGAATCAGTTCATAAGAGCAACAATAAAATGCAGTCAGACACAAGCACACAGGTAAACAGAATCCCTCTGAATCCGGCTGGGTGTCCAGCTGACACCCTCATGGGCCAGCATTCAGTTCATAAGGGCACGTCTGAGTCAAACTGGGTCAATCAGCCTGTACAAGCTGATCCCCTTATGTGTTTCAAACTCAGCACGTCCCAATCTTTGGCCTCTTGATGAGCAGACCCCACAATAATTTGGGCTTCACAGGGATCTTTAGCTTAGGTAAAAGAAGCGTTGCTGCAGAGCACGGGAGGAAAAAGAAGCAGAGAAGGAAAAATATACCCAATTACTACCAGTTTGACTATAAAAGTTATTTATTGCTAAGCATATGAAAGATATAATAGTACTAGTAGTAATAGACATGCAAAAGAAAAACAAACACCAACAATGACAATACTACCCTGGTTTCACTAAGTATTTGGGGAAACTTAGCTCAAGCTTAACTGATACAGTTCAGGTTCAGAAGTTTATGCCTAGAAAGAAGACAGAGAACGCTGGGATCTCACCTAGTCCACGGTACTCAGGCTGCAAAGCTGACAGGCACAGTCCGTAGCACAATCCTTGAAGAGAGAGATGATCTGTTCTTCCAGCGTCCCAAGAACGACAGGGGATGGTGTCAGCACAGGGGTTTTCTTCTTCTCCTTCTTTCCTCCTGCTTCTACTTCTTTTCCTTCCTTTCTTTCAAGCACACACACTTACAGATTTTTATACCCTCAGTTCAGCTGCTTCGAAGCACCCTCAGTAGTGTAAATCATTGTCTTTTCTATTGACAAGGGGTTATCTGGTTTGGACCATCTCAGGAAAC